TCTATGCAGAGGGAAAGGCACTCAAAGTCTGTGCATCCCTTGTGCCTGTGCCTAGGCAAAGGAGCTGTGCCTACCCGGGGTTCCTGGCTTAGGGGAGCTGGCGGTTTATTTTTACCTCTATTTGTTAATTTGTTCACTCTCCAAGGCAGGGAGAATGGCTCCGGGCATGTGAGGAATCCTACTTCCGGCCCGGGGACTCGGCAATTGCTGAAGCCGGTCTGTGACCCGGTGCAGAGCAGGGAGTGGGGAGGTAAATGGAAGAGAGGTTTTTCCCTAAGGGGAATGTTTTTGATCCACGGAGTAGGCCGTATGCAATTACTTATGTTTCCCTGATCCAGGGCTGCTTCTCACCGGTTCCGGGTGGCCATGTAGACTCTCTGGTGCTGGGTCTCTCCTGGTGTGGAAAACGCTCCTCCTGAGCTCCGCCGCTTGCCTGCCTCACGGCTCACCCCTGAACTGATCAGGCCTGATCCTGAAGTGCTAAGGCTCTCGCTGGGTCAGGTCTGGCAACTCCTCGCTGCTTCTGAACCGTCTCTCCCTCCCCCTGCCACTCTGTCTGGTTCCTCAACTCTGCCTTTGATGTTCAGGGTTCCCAGATTGCCATATATAATCAATTCATTTGTTTTTCCTGATCTTTGTTGTAAGGGGGTCCACCGGAAGCATCTGACTACTCCGCCATCTTGGCCCCGCCTCCTCGAGTCCATTCTGACTCATAGCGACCCTAAAGGATAGAGTAGATCTGCCCCATAGGGTTTCCAAGGTTGTAATCTTTTATGTAAGCCTTCTACCACATCTTTCTCCTGTGGAGCAGCTGGTGAGTTTGAACCACTGACCTTTTGATTAGCAGCTGAGCTCTTAACCATGGTGCCACCAGGGGCTCTTTTGGGGCAGTTCTACTATGTCTTACATAAAGGGTTGCTAAGTTGGAGTCACCTCAACCACAACAGGGTTTTGTTTTGTTTTTCTCACTTATATAGGCAGCACTTAAATGTTTGTTACCAAGCAATAGTTAAAAAAACCTTGTAATTTCCACCCCATAATACAGAGCAATAGTTCTCAACATTTGGTGATGCCTGGAGAGAGTTTTGGTTGTCACACATGGGTGCTAGTGACATCTAGTAGGTAGATTTCAGGAATGCTGTTAACCATACTACAATGCATAGGACAGCCCCCCACAAGAAAGAATTACCTGGCCCAAGATGCCAGTAATGCTGAGGCTGAGAAAACCTGATGTAGTGTCATCGTAAATAACACTTGCTCCCCTGGTGTTGTATTCGTACAAAAGTATGTACTTTATCTAATTAGCATCTCCCCTTTGATTTTAAATTTCAAGATTTTTTAAAATCAACTGTATGTATATAGCTGTTTAATTATATCCAAGGCATTCACATGCCTTTCTGGGATCATGTTACTGACGGTGGTTTCTGTATTTATACCATTCTTTTAGACATTTCTCTGTATTTCCTTTCTCTTTTCCCATTCCCTTTCTCCCTGTGTTTCCAATATAGCACAACTTTTGTTTAACACAGTATTTTATGAATTTGTAAATATTCCTCACGTGTTCTTTCTTGTACAACCTTTTGTTTTCCTTGAAGTTAATAATTGTTTTGTCTTTTCCTTTGGATTAGTCATCCGAAATGTAAAAATTTTGAGTTCTTGTTTATTTGAAAATATTTCTCACACTTGAATGATAATTTGTTTGGGGATATAATCCTGGTGTGGAATCATTTCCCTCAAATGAATCTTTTATTCTGTTGTAAAGTGTTGCCTGTTGAGAAATCTGATCTTCTGGAAGCATTTTGGATCTTTGAACTTCATTACTTTTGTACTTGGTTGTTCATTGCAGTCGTTGGATTAAGTGCTATATAAAACTGTCTGTTTACAGAATCTTCAATCACAGAACCTAGCACGATTTCTCATATAGAAAATTGTTCATAATTCATAGTTTATCTCAAATTTAAGACTGGTAAGGCCAATGAGAAATGGCTTTCTGTGAACAAGGAAGGACGTTTAAATGCAGACTGTGTCTGTATAAGTGGTCTTCCAAAGTTGTGCCTAAGGATTACCTGATGGTGCTTTTAAAACACATAGATTCCTGCATCACTCCCCCAGATACTTGCATTTGGTTAAGTCTGGTGTGGCCTTAAGAAGTCTGCCTTTTGTCCTAAGCAGGGATGGTGGTTCTGGACCATTCTACAAGCTTCAGTTGTGTCAAAACAAAAGGCAGTTCTTTAGGCAGTGGGGAAAGACTAGTAAAGTTTCCCTTCTTTCATTCATACAAACATGGAACCTCTTCAGATAAAGAAATTTATAGCCTGTATGTATGTTTTTACATATCGTTTTCTCGGCTGTGGATTATACTGGCTTCCTTTCCTGTAAATAGCAGAGTCCAGGCTGATCAGTCCCTGCCATTAAACATGGGATTGTGTTGTGTTGTAATTATTTATTCACATGCCTCTGTCCCAGCACCCAGCACAGTCTTTGGAACAGAGTGTGTTTTCAAACACTTTCTGAATGATGTGTGAGGGCATTGTATTATCTCCGTAGAAATACTGTGTTCCTGTGTGCTTCCCTGTAGGAGCGCAGAGTGAATGATTACATGGGCCTGGAGTGATCTTCCTGGAGTGTTGTTAGGGTCTTTAATAAGCTTTATATCACATTTGGGTATCTTTATTCCTTTATATCTAAAATATTTTGGAAGAGCCACAATTAGATGAATTTCTTGAAGTTCAGCATAAATCATTGGGTTATCTATATTCATTCAGAATTTGATAGTAGTTTCTTTAGTTTGGGATTACAGTTTACCGTATCTTTATCTGTTAGCCAAGATTTGCTGAGCACGAAGGAAGCCAGTGCTTTAAATCTCCCTTTAAACCACTTTTGTCAACAACTCTTGGCATGGTTAGTACGTGTGTTAATTACATATTCATATTTACTTCATAAGATAATTTTGACTCAACTTCTTACTTGGTTAGCTGTTAGTATATGTACTTGAAAATTTTAAATGTCAGTTTTTCATTTTTAATTTGAGGAAAAAAGCACAATGTAGCTGTATTAAAGAACATTTTAAAATTAAAAGATCGCCTGTTATTCATTCATCTTTGCCTAAAAGCTACATTCCTGAAAGCAATTTGTATTTTAGATTGGTTGGGGTATCCATCTGTTGATTTTGTGATCTGCTTATACCTGTAAAACAGTATAACCAGTGTTTCTTTATCTCCTGATAATAATTATAAAGTAAAGGTTTAATAATTCAGTTTAAATTCCTTTGTCATTTCAGACAGTATGGAGGAGACTTTAACTATGCTGTATTTGTTGGTATGAATTTTAGTGTCTGTTAACCCTTAAAATTCAAGGGACTATGAAAGATAGTGGTTTCTGTTAAAATAACGTTTAGTAGGTTGTGCCCCCCATTTTTTTAAACTGATTTTTGTGAAGTAAAAGAAAAGATTTTATTTCTCTTAAGTGATTTAATATTAAATATTAGAAATACTGCTTTGTCAACTGTTATGGAGGAGAAAAAAAGATTATTTTTAGAAACCCATTTATGACTTATGCATGCCGCACGTCTGAGCACATATTCACAGGCCACAAGTCTTCATTAACAGCGACAGAGCAGTTGCCCTGGTTGTAGTTCTGCCCTTTGTAAGAGCAAGTCAGGTCATTCTTGACCTTGAGTATTATTATGTGCACTGTATTAAAAATGTTAATTTTTCTGCTTCACTAATATGCACGAATAAAATATATTAGAAAAACAGAAAACCGTGATAGCTCTTCTGGTAACCCAATTAGAGATCTGACAGGATAATATGGAAATACCATGTGCTCTCAGTGAAATCTTTCAACGTAATGTTAATATTAATGTAAGATGATTACCAGAGAAAGAAAGATGTTTTTATGAGGGGGACATTTTTAAAAATTGAAAGAGTATACAGTTGCACAATGTTTAGAAAATTGTAGTTTTTGACCTATGCATTTTACTTTTGGTAATTTTTTTCTTTGAGTAGCTGTTTTTCACTGCACTGATTCAACGGCAAACTCTCTAGCTTCCTGTTTATTTAATTTATATCTTATATATAATTTCTGTTGTTTTTTCTGGGGAGGTTGTGGGTTATAATTAAAAAATCAAATTACATTATGGCTTTTAAAAGATATTTTGTGAACTCTGCCTGGTATCTGTTAACTTGAACAATCTCTCCAAATTTTCCTGCCGAGATTTGTAGCTATGCTGCATTTTTAAATCTAGTGAGGAAATTTTAAAAGTACTTGTAATAGGTCCTTCTACCTGGAAAACCTTATTTTCTCAGGTCTAGATAAGCTTTTTTTAATAGACATTCATTGCATACTCATACCCAGGGCTGTGATCAAAGGTGAATGCCATGTGGCTCCAAGGTCTGTGAATCTAGAGATCTTCATTTTGCCCCTTGCTCTATAGAAGTTACTTATGTTTAAATTTTAACTAGTCTCTCTGGAGAGTAATTTCAATAAAGTTACTTACATCGTGATACAAATTTGTATGATCTTTAGGATTTCATTTGCAGTGGCTACTTTAAAAAACCTGAACAGACATTATTTTAGGCACTAGTTTGTGTGGTGATGTCTTTGTTTGAAGATCCCTTTTATAATACTTTCTCATATGAACTATTTATAGATTCAGAAACTCATTCTTATTCTGAAAGTCTCGTTCATTCTTTTTTTTTCCTTGAAAATTTAGAAAATACCAATAAAGTGCCCCTATGCTATTAGGATTCACTACCTAACACCATTCCCTCCACAGATTAGCCTCTCAGTAAATGTCTACAGAGACAGTCTTCTTTTATAGGTTTCCCAGCACCAGAATTGTAAGGTGGGTCTCAATATATAAACTGAAGTATATTCCTCACTACCATCTAGTTTCTTAATACCAGTGCCTCTTTTTGAGCCTTCATAACTTTGTATATGTCATCACTGTGAAGTTGGCCTTTATTACATTTATTTATTTTTTTTTTCACTTTCAACAGGGGAAAATGCAGTGTCGCCCTTCTAAATGAGACGGAGTCAGTATTATCCTATCTTGATAAGGAGGTAATTCATGGTTACACTTGTTTGTTTGTTCTGTTTCACATGATGCCCGTACCTTTGAATTGATTTATTTTTATACTGAATTATCATGACATCATTATAGTAGTATTAAACAGTAAAAGTTTAATGACTAGAATGCATTCTGGCTAGTTTGATTTTTCTGATTAGCTGAGATGAGAGTTGGTAAAAATTCATCTCCATGTCACCACCCCACCCCCTTCATTTGTTAATGAAAGGCTTTATAAAGTAACAGCCAGAGTTTACTCGGTAGTATAATACATATTGTTTGCTTTATGATATAAATGACTTTGGTGCTTGGTTGCCCTCTCCTCATTTTGTTGTTGGTTATCTTTTTTGGCTTTTCTTGTAGACTCTTTCTAGATGAGATTTTACCATTTGTGGTCTGTTTTCTTTCTGGGAACCTAATAAACGTTCTCAGCTAAAAATATTTTTTTCTAAAAACTTCAACAAGAAGCATTTTTAACATTTTAACAGGTTGGATTAGAGCATGTACTTCATTGAAAGGAGCAAAATGTTTTATGAAGAGAATATTCCATGCTTTGCACGTTTTTGTGTGACTTTTGTATAAGGAAAAAAAATTTACTGTCAATAATATTCAATATTTAACATTCATGGCTTTTGTGAAATATATATACGTGTGTGTGTATGTATATAGGTTGCTTAAAGGGACATATTTTCTTTAAAAAAATACTATACCCTTTATCTCAGGGGAAGAAAACATAACAAAACAAGACTGATAAACATGCAAAATCACTACATGTCAGAAAACCTGATAAAGAACAAGGAAAATGAATTATGTAAGGCAGAAAAAGGTTAACAGTCTTTATAACTTATGCTTGTGAAATTTAGCAGAGAAGGTAGGATTTGTCCTCAGTCTGGCTGACAGAATGATGCTGTTGCTCAGAAATTAGTTTTAGTTCACAGAAGCAGAAATAACGAGAGAGTGGCATTTTTTAAAAAAGTGATATTTTTTTTCCTTCTGATTTGTTGTTAACAATTTGTATATGCTAAGGACTTTAGTAGAAGAAAAATAGCAGAGTTCTTTAGGATTTTTTCCCTAGCCACTTGATTTTTAACTACTTAGTCCTTTATCAGTCTTTGGGATAGGAGCCAATCTCTGGCAGTATATTTAAGATTTTTTTTATAAACTTAATTTTAAAAAAATCTTTTTTTTTTTCAGTTCCGTCAAAATAGTTTTCATTTTTAGCTTTTCTGCTTTATTTATTCCCATGTGTCTGTCAGTTTGTCATACTGTGGTGGCTTCAAGACCTAACCTACAGTACAGTGCTGTCAGTGATAACATAATATCCATATGCCTGTAAGGAAGATAAGTTAATATAACTATTCAGATTTACACACCAACAACTAATGCCAGAGATGAGGAAATTAAAGATTTTTAGCAACTTCTACAGTCTAAAATTGATCAAACGTATAATCAAGATGCATGGATAGACTAGTTTCCGTAGTGTACTGGTTATCACATTCGTCTCATAGGATGCATTGATAATTACTGGTGATTGGAATGCAAAAGTTGGAAATGAAGAAGGATTGGTAGTTGAAAAATACGGCCTTGGTGATAGAAATGACATTGCATGGTAGAATTTTGCAAGACTAACGACTTCTTCATTGCAAATACCTTTTTTCAACAACATAAATGGCAGCTATACGCGTGGACCTTGCCAGAGGGAATACACAGGAATCAAAATCGACTACATCTGTGTAAAGAGATGATGGAAAAGCTCAATATCATCAGTCAGAACAAGGCCAGGGGACCTGACTGTGGAGCAGACCATCATTTGCTCATATGCAAGTTCAAGTTGAAGTTAAAGAAAATTAGAACAAGTCCACGAGACCCCAAAGTGTGTGACCTTGAGTATATGCCATCTGAACTTAGGGACCATCTCAAGAATAGATTTGAAGCCGTGAACACTAATGACCAAAGACCAGACGTGTTGTGGAGTGACATCAAGGACATCATACACGAAGAAAGCAAAAGGTCATCTAAAAAACAGGAAAGAAAGACAATATAAAAATGGATGTCAGAAGAGACTCTGAAACTTGGCTCTTGAATGTAGAGTAGCTAAAGTGAACTGAAGAAATGATGAAGTTAAAGAGCTGAGAATATTTCAAAGAGTGGCTTGAGAAGACAAAAATAAAGTGCTATAATGACATGTGCAAAGACCTGGAGTTAGAAAACCAAAAGGGAAGAACACGCTCAGCATTTCTTAAGCTGAAAGAACTGAATCAAAAATCAAGCCTTGAATTGCAATATTGAAGGATTCTGTGGGGAAAATATTGAACGATCCAGGAAGCATCCAAAGAAGATGGAAGGAATATACAAAGTCACTGTGCCAAAAAAAATTGGTCAACGTTCAATCATTTAGGAGGTAGCATATGATCAAGAACCGATGATATGAAGGGAGAAGTCCAAGCTGCACTGAAGGCATTGGTGAGAAACAAGGCTCCAGGAATTGATGGAATACCCACTGAGATGTTTCAACAAACAGATGCAGCACTGGAAGTGCTCACTTGTCTGTATCAAGAAATATGGAAGACAGCTTCCTGGCAAACCAACTGGAAGAGATCATATTTGTGCCCATTCCAAAGAAAGGTGATCCAACAGAATGCAGAAATTATTGAACAATATCATTAATATCACAAACAAGTAAAATTTAGCTGAAGATCATTCAAAAGTGATTGCAGCAGTACATTGACAGGGAACTTCCAGAAATTCAAGCTGGATTCAGAAGAGGACATGGAACGAGGGATATCATTGCTGATGTCGGATGGATTTTGGCTGAAGCAGAGAATATTAGAAGGATGTTTACCTGTGTTTTACTGACTATGTAAAGGCATTCGACTGTGTGGATCATAACAAATTATGGATAACACTATGAAGAATGGGAATTCCAGAACACTTAATTGTGCTTATGAGGAACCTGTATACCTCTATACCAAGAGGCAGTCGTTTGAACAGAACAAGGGGATAGTGCGTGGTTTAAAGTCAGGAAAGGTGTGCATCAAGGTTGTATCCTTTCACCATACTTATTCAGTCTGTATGCTGAACAAATAATCTGAGAAGCTGGACTATATGAAGAAGATTGGAGGAAGACTCATTAACAACCTGGGTTATATAGATGACACGACCTTGTTTGCTGAAAGTGGAGAGGTCTTGAAGCACTTACTGTTGAAAATCAAAGACTACAGCCTTCAGTATGAATTGCACCTCAGCGTAAAACAAAAATCCTCACAAGTAGACCAATAAACAACATCATGATAAATGGAGAAAAGACTGAAGTTGTCAAGGATTCCATTTTACTTGGATCCACAATCAATGCCCATGGAAGCAGCAGCCAGGAAATCAAAGGACACATTGCATTGGGCAAATTTGCTGCAAAAGACCTCTTTCAAGTGTTAAAAAGCAAAGATGTCACTTTCAGGACTAAGGGATACCTGACCCATGCCATGGTATTTTCAGATACCTCATATGCATGTGCAAGCTGGACAATGAGTAAGGAAGACTGAAGAAGAATTGATACCTTTAAATTACGGTGCTGGCCAAGAGTATTGAATATATACCATAGTTTGCCAGAAGAATGAACAAATCTGTTTTGGAAGAAGTGGAGCCAGAATGCTCCTTAGAAGCAAGGATGGTGAAACTTTGTCTCACGTACATGTTATCAGGAGGGACCAGTCCCTGGAGAAGGACATCATGCTTGGTAAGGTAGAGTGCTAGTGAAAAAAAGGAAGACCCTCCACGAGATGGATTGACATGGTCGGTGGCTGCAACAATGGGCTCAAACAAAGCAAAGATTGTGAGGATGGGGCAGGACCAAGCAGTGTTTCGTTCTTCTGTACATAGTGTCAGTATGAGTTGGAACTGACTCTATGGCACTTAACAACAACTTTATTTACTACAAGTCTATTCTTGAGAATATCTGTTTGTTTTTTAGTCATGTTAAAATATTGAGGCCTGACATATTTCAAAATGGTAATCCAAAGGGGAAATTTCTAACACCATCCTTTACTTCATAACTCTCTGCATTCTCCACATTGGCTCATTATTCATACAACTCTTGGAATTCTTTTATTCTTTTTCGGTTTTTTTGGAACTTCCTTTTTAAAGTAAATATATTTTGATATATTTTTTCATATCGGTACATATAAATCTCAGGATCTTATGCATCTGTGTGGTCCTAAGCAATCATTTTATTTTGTTTTACTGTAGACCACAGCAGAGTTCTGTTTTTATGGAGTACCATGCTAATACATTTTACAGATTAAAAGTGACCTGAAGTATCTCTGCTTTTAAATCTGATGGTGAGCCAGTGGCAGTAGCTTCAGTTCCCAAGTAGTATTCTTAATTTCTGATGTCTGCTTTTAAAAGAAAAACCTCTGATTCCATACTTACTGTCCCCTGTATCGCTGTTAAGCTAGGTTGATTTATATATTCCTAGGAGGTTTTTTTAAATTTTCCTTAGATAATATTTTCTTTATATGTACAAATTATCACATATTGGTGTGACTTTTTAACCGTTTTATTGTTTAATATTTTCTCCTGACAGAGACCCATGATTAAAATATTGTGCAGAATTTCTCAATGGATGGTATCACCTTTTCTGTTTTCTCCTTTACCTTTATCAAAGTATATAAGAGCCCTAAGAGGAGAGAGCTTTAGAATCTGACACACTGTCTCTTATTTGAAGCTTGCTTAGCTGGGTTTTGGTAAAAGGGTGATAACAGGAATAGGTAGGTCTTTCCTTTCCACAATACAGGGAGTCACAGTGGGCAACAGAGGACAGGAGTGTTGGCCCAAATGACCTCCAGTGGTTATGCAAACTCAGTAAAAGATGAGTAGCCAGGCCTTTTTGTCCATTGTGCTCATAACTAGGGCTTTTCAGCTTTTTAAGGGACTATTGCAAAATGCGTTAGGGGTGGTGGTGGTGTTGGGTATATAGTTTTATATATATATATGTATATGTGTGTATATATATATATATATACACACACCTATCTATCTATCTATCTATATACCTATCTATCTTTCTCTCTGTATATATATACCTATCTATATACGTGTGTAGGATTCAGAATTGGAAACAACGGCAGAATTTTAATTAGCAAATATTTAATTGAATGTCTACAAAGTGACATACTAATTAGTAAACTACATATGAGCTCAGTACTTACAGAATTTATTTAATATGAGATGTGTATGTGTTTTAATATTTTCAGTAAAGTATGGGATGAACATTTCAAAACAAGAATACTAGTATCAGTGAAGGCATCCTTGTTGTTTGGGGCAGCCTTTCGAGGTTTAGGTGATGACTAGATTTCAGGCGTCTTACTTTGACTTACAATTTAACTTGACTAGCTTTTCAAAACCCAGTTTTAGAGCAGTTAGTCGCTTTCTTTCAGAACTTTATAATTTGCCTTTACTGTAAGCTATTTCTTTTGGCTTGATTTAATTTCACATGATGACAGTAACACCACGTTCTCCTTAAAGATTTATTTACTGAAATGAAATTTCATACACACTCTAAATTTTTATACTTTCATTATTGTGACATTGGATTTATTGCTTTATAAAAAGCAGGAGGAATTAAGTTTACCTAGATATTTTCTTCTTTTTTTTTTTAGGATACTTTTTTCTACTCATTGGTCTATGACCCCTCAGTGAAAACATTATTAGCTGACAAAGGTGAAATCAGAGTGGGACCTAGATATCAAGCAGACATTCCAGAAATGCTCATAGAAGGTATGTTTTTCTTTGGGTTTCAAATCCTGTGAGAACAAATATTTTCATATCTCGAAACTCAAATATCCTTGCCCTCATATGGTAGAAGCAGCTTTGAGGGGTAAAGTTTGAAAGTTATGAGCTGTTTGTAATTTGTAATGTTTAGAAATTTAACAAAATGAAAGTAATTTACTCAATCAGTTATTCAGTTGAGATTTCTCATTTTTGTGAGTTTTATGGCTGTGATTTTCTTTTAATATAGCTTTAAGGAGTAATTGATATACACTTAAGCATTCTGATGTGACACACTGATGCTTCGAGGTTCTTGAGTCCCTTCTAGCTGAGGGTTCCATGGAACGGTTACATTGTGGTGGATATTTTGGCTGATCTGGGTAGTTATGGACCCGAGGGATTCAATGCTCTGCATTTTAAAAACAGATCTTGCCTAGTGAGATTTAACTTTTCTTTTTTTCTCCTGTCATAACTGTGCACTTAAAATCTTTATTTTCTTTCTCTCTTTTTCTTTCTGTCTCTTTATTGTGATGTAATGAAAGTTTACGGAGCAAATTAGTTCCTCATTAAACAGTTAATACACAAATTGTTTTGTGGAAAAAACTTTATTTTCTTGATTTCAAAAGTAAAATTTTTTTTTTTTAAATTGTGTTTTAGGTGAAAGTTTACAGCACAAGTTAGTTTCTCATTCAAAAATTTATACACAAATTGTTTTGTGACATTGGTTGCAGTCCTCGCAATGTATCAGCTCTCTCTGCTTTTCTTTTCCACCCTGGGTTCCCCATGTTCAGTCGTCCAGTTTTCCTGTCCCTTCCTGCCTTCTCGTCTTGCCTTTGATTAGGAGTTGCCCATTTGATCTCGTATTCTTGATTGAAGTAAGAAGCACATTCCTCACGTGTGTTACTGTTGTTTTTATAGGCCTGTCTAATCTTTGGCTGAAAGGTGGACTTAAGAGTGGCTTCAGTTCTGAGTTAGCAGAGTGTCCAGGGGCCATAGTTTTGGGGATTCCTCCAGTCTCTGTCAGACCAGTAAGTCTGGTCTTTTTTTTTTGGTGAATTTGAATTTTGTTCTATACTTTTCTCCCACTTTGTCTAGGACCCTCTATTATGATCCCTGTCAGAGTGGCTGGTGGTGGTAGCCGGGCAGCATCTAGTTCTTCTGGACTCAGGTTGATGGAGGCTGTGTTTTTTGTGGTCCTTTAGTCTTTTGGGCTAATATTTTCCTTGTGTCTTTTGTTTTCTTCATTCTCCTTTGCTCTGCATGGGATGGGACCAGTGATGTATCTTTGATGGCCATTCGCAAGCTTTTAAGACCCCAGATGCTACTCACCGAAGTAGGATGTAGAACAGTTTCTTTATGAATTATGTTATGCCAATTGACGTAGATGTCTCCCAAGACCATGGTTCCCACGAAAGTAAAATATTCTTACTCTTAAAAAATGAAACACAAAAATAAAGAAATATATAATGTAAAAAATGAATGCCATTTCCTTTCCTTCATTCAACCCATACTTAATTACTGTTATAATTCAGGGTATGTTTTTTCTGTTCACAACTTGGCTTATAATCCATCAGTGGCCCAGTGAATTGGCAGGTTGCACATGTTTTTCTGCAGCCTACTTCTTCATTGTACAGTGTATCTTCAGCGTCTTTCCTTGTAAGTAGAGTGACTTCATTCTTTTTAGTAACTGTATAGTTTTAAGTTTGCATGGATGTACCATAATGTCCTTCTCTAGTCCCCTGCTGGTGGACTTTTAGGTGTTTAACGTTTTTTGGTATTACAAATGATGCTGCTAGAAAATCTTCGCATATATTTGTGCTGTGTAAGTGTTTTTAAGCATAGGACCCTGGAAATGACATGGTATGTAGATTTTAAAGATTGGAAATGTCCTTTGCCCTTCGAAATGGCTGTATTAATTTATGTATGGCAGAACAGATGCCATCAGCAACACTGATTATTTTTTACCTTCATATATGCTAAAGATACGTATTGATATCTCATTGTTTTAGTTCTTTAAAATATTTTCAAAGTTTAAGTAAGCTTGCCTTGGTTATCTTTAGTTATGTAAATTTCTTTTGTATTTTTTATTGTGTTGTTTATTTTTTAATAATTTATTTGTTGGCAAGAGCTCTTTGAATATTAAGGTTCTTTGCCTTTTGTCCATATGCATTGCAAGTACCCCACCTCTAACTTGATTTGATTTGAAAAAAATTTAATGATTTTAAGTTTAAGTATATTTTATTTATTTATTGCCATACGGAACTTTAGAACTGATTAGTCTTTTAAGGCCTTTATAATTTATGTTATGCACAGAAAAGTCTCCACTTCTGTTTCTGAAGTCTAATTGTCAAAGTACATGAAGTCTTCCATTGGTCCCTCTATCTTCTTGCCTTCTAAAAAATGGATGCTCAGAAGTGAAATCGACAGATACTCAGGATTTTGTAAACCATGGCCTCAACAGTGGGTGAGGGTGAATAATGCAAGACTTCAGATTTCCATATTTAATGAACTTAAGTACCAGGAAGGGTCAGTCAGAAAAGATGGAGCTTAGAGAACAGAATACCAGGTGTGTACTCTTTTGTGTTTGGAGGTTGTTTTGAATAGATTGTGCTTAGTGCATCAGTTTTGTATAGGTTCTAAGATTACATTTACTGGCCTTCTGTTCTATGCAAACCAATTTGTCTGCCAGAAATAATTTTATGTGTTTATATTCCCTATCATTTGATATTAGACTTATAAATAACACTCTACCTAAGTGTTCGCTAAATATTTATTATTTTATTTTTAAAAACTTGATTTTAAAATTATACAAACAGTGCTGTAATGAGTATCCTTTTGTATAACGAGTACTTTCGCACTTTGCAAATATAACTGGAAAATATAGTCCTAGAAGTGGAATTGCTAAATCATGAGGCATACATGTTTTAAATTTTATAGATAATGCTAAATTGTCCTCTAAAATGCTTATGTCAGTTTACACATGAGTTTTTTTTCAGCCTAGTTTTAGTTCAGGTATAATTTACTTGCAGTAAATTTCATCCTTTATAGTGTTCTGTGAGTTTTTGAAAAATGCATATGCACCTAGTGATAGGCGAGCAAGTCCATCTGCACCAGGCCAAAGGCCAAGAAAATCTTCAGTGCTTTCCTGAAGGAGTGTCCAAGGGCTGTGACAGAGGGACCCAGCCTTCATCCTCCATTCCCCAAGAAGCCTTCTGGCACTCTTCCCTGCACTGTGGCCTTGCCCTACTATGAACTGTGCAGACCACACTGTTCACATCATCTTTAAGCTCTTTGTATCGTACTGTTTGACTTTTTAAAATTTTACACTGCCAAGATACTGATAGTGTGGTCATCTCTTGAGCACTGAGCATAAGACTAGGTGTCTAATAAGTTTATCAAGTTTTTTTTTATTGGGATGTAAAGATAAATGCTGAACTGGGTAATGAAGCTAGGCTGTTTTAAGTAATAGTGGGCAGAAAAATCAAATCATGGAATTTCATGAGTTCCCATTTATTTTAAATAACTATTTAAGTATGGTATTTGTTCCTGAAAAGTATAAAGGCTGGGCAGAGTGATGTAATTTGGAAAGCATATCTACCTGCTTGTAATTGTTGAGATTTATTTTAGGAAAAAAAATAACAAGTGTCTTAGTTATCTAGTGCTGCTATGACAGAAATACCACAAATGGGTGGCTTTAACAAACAAATTTATTTTCTCACAGTTTAGGTGGCTAAAAGTCCAAATTCAGGGTGTCAGCTCTAGGGGAAGCCTTTCCCTCTCTGCTGGCCCTGGAGAAAGGTCTTTGTCTCTTTGAGCTTCTGCTGCTGGGTGATCTTCATGTGGCTTGCCATCTCTCTTCCCCCATCTCTGCTAGCTTGTTTAATCTCTTTTATATCTCAAAAGAGATTGACTCAAGACGTACCATACACTAATCCTACCTCATTAACATAACAGAGACACCCCATTCCCAAGTGATATTGTACTCACAGGCATAAAACCAAACCAAACCCATTGCCATCGAGTCGATTCCGACTCACAGCGATCCTACAGGACGGAGTAGAACTGTCTTATAGGGTTTCCAAGAAGCAAATGGCGGATTCAAACTGCCAGCCTTTTGCTTAGCAGCCGATCCGTTAACCACTGTGCTACCATAGAGGTTAGGAATTACAACACATATTTTGGGGGAACACAGTTCAGTCCATAGCAACAAGTAAAGTGGAATAATTTATTCTACCAACTCTTCTCAAAAAAGAAATTGAAGTTTGAAAAGGGTAGCGTCTGAAGTCTTGTAACTTCACAAGGGAGAAGTAGAAGCACCATCAGCATCACCCCAAACCTGATTCCTTTGAGGTAGAGGTCAGACATATCTCCACTCTCCAACCTTTTTACGAATTCTGACACCAGCTGTCGTACCCACTGCACCCTCTACTTCTCTGCTGGCTTCGATAATTCATTGCATTGGCCACACAGAGCTCACAAACCATACTCAGAATTATGGGCTTTATTAGGGAAGTAACACGTATCAATTCAGGATCAGGATCAACTGGGAAGTAACAGGATGTGGTTCTTCAGTCAGGATAGTTTCCAACCAAAACAGTTCTCAGCTTCTTCTTGGCTGTGCCCACAGCCAGGCCTTACTGTCAGCTTCTGCCGCCGGCCCTGCTTGGGCCCAGTTGCTGCCCCGGTCAGACAAGTGTTACAGCCCTTTAGCTCTGCCAGTAATTTCTAGGAGGCACCCTACTTCTCCAGGAAGCCTCCTACCCAAAGGAACTCAGTTCTCGCTCCATGGGTCTGTGAGTCCACTGCAGCCATCTGTCAATCGTGTGCTGCTACTTTTTCATGTTCCAGGAATTGAGATGTTTTGACAGATGGATGCAACCCTGGAAGCGCTCACTGGTCTTTGCCAAGAAATTTGGAAGACAGCTACCTTGCCACCCAGTTGGAAGAGATCCATATTTGTGCCCATTCCAAACGAAGGTGATCCAACAAAATGTGGAAATTATTGAACA